GAGGGGGGCCGCGTGGTGCGGAACTGCGGGCGGCATCTGGAGCTGAGCAAGTCAACGGGAATGACAACCACCTGGGCCTGGAAGAGGGTCTGGCGTTCCGAATGCCACCTGGCTGACCCCTTGATTGCAGCTTCGTGAGACTAAGAAGAGAACCCAGTGACTCGCTGAGCTCAAGTTACTGACCCAGGGAAACCGTGAGACAGTAAACCTGTTTCAGGCCACTGAGTTTGTTGTACGTGGTTACGCAGTAGCGACTAGCTGATGCAGTGGTAGCTGGTGGTGTTCTCACTCTTGGCATCCGTGTTTTTCTCTGGACTTTGCTCTCCTCCCCTTACAAAGTTACTGCCGTGCCTTCCAGCTCCCCCTTGACGCCTCCTTACAGTGCAAAGTGCCTCCTTATAGGTGTTCTAGGGAAAGGGTCCTAAATCGGACGTGGGGGAGTTTTCAGGGCACACGCGGGGCCCAGAGATGCTGCTCAGGGCCACCTCCTGCATGCTTGGGGAGGAGGAGGTTTTGACACAGGAATGTCAGCCTCCAGGGTTTCCCGCCGGCCAGGGGAAGGATGGGGGCAAGAATTGGGACTTAAGTGAATTTGTAGAGTCTAAAAACTCGGCGTTTCTTGGACACTGTTATTGCAGGGCTGGGGCTCACCCCGCTACCCATCCATGGTATCATGTGAGCCTCACAGCTCCGTTTCACAGAATTGCCACCGCCCCTCCCCACATTTTACCTATAAAGGAGTTGGGGCCCAGAGAGTTCAGGTGATTCACCCAGGGCCACACAGCACAAACCACCTTTTGTTAGGGTTAGAGCACTGTCTCCTAATCCAGGGTTTCCCAAAAGGTGGGACTCCCACTGTGATTTGGGGGTTGATGGAAAGACCACCTTTTCCAGCTCATTTGCGGTTCCACTGAAGACGGGAGAAAGTCTTTCAGGTGCTAACGGGTCTTTCACACCTCTAATGCTTGCTGATGGCCCTTCTGAACCAAGAGGAAGAGTGTCAGAGTCCAATTTAAACCTCCTAAAAAACATGGTTTTCACCGCATATCTAATAAACCTCATTCCTTTTTAAGGCAGCAATGTAGATTTGCCTTTATGATAAAATGTTTTAAGGTTTTATTTATTTATTTGTCAGAGAGAGCAAGTGCACAAGCAGGGGGAGCAGCAGAGGGAGAAGCAGGGTCCCTGCTGAGCCGCGAGCCCGATGTGGGACTCAATCCCAGGACCCTGGGACCATGACCCGAGCCGAAGGCAGACACTTAACTGATTGAGCCAGCCAGGCATCCCAGCCTTTAAGATCAATTTATTTAAGTTTGTTTTGTTTTGTATTTAAAGAGCTGATTGAGGGCGCCTGGGGGGGCTCAGCTGGTTAAGCGTCTGCCTTCGGCTCAGGTCATGATCCCAGGGTCCTGGGATCGAGTCCCGCATCGGGCTCCCTGCTCCTTGGGAGCCTGCTTCTCCCTCTGCCTCTCTCTCTCTCTCTCTCTCTCTCTGTCTCTGTCTCTCATGAATAAATAAATAAAATCTTAAAAAAAAAAAAGAGCTGATTGAGGGACCCCTGTGTGGCTCAGTCCGTTGAACATCCGACTCTTGGTTTCAATTCAGATCATGATCTCAGGGTGGTGAGATGGAGCCCCACGTTGGGCTCCACGCTCAGCGCAGAGTCTGCTTGAGGTTCTCTCTCTCCCTCCCTCTGCCCTCCCTGTGCTCACAAGTGCACTCACGATCTCTCTAAATAATAAATAAATAAAATCTTTTTTTTAAAAAAAGAGCTGATTTGCAGGGACTCGAACAGATACTTGCATGCCCATGCTCCCTGCAGCCCAAGCATCTACAATGTGTCCATCCTTGTGGTGGAAGATGACAGGGGCTACAGCGTGGATGGTCCTTGAGGACGGGAGAGCCAAGTGATTTGCTGGAAGCCTCCCACCCGGACTCTCCAATGGGCTCTGCTCCCACCCTCTGCTTCTTCAGTAATGTCCCAGCTGGCGGGACCCCTGCCATGATGCCAATTGTGACCGGGTTTCCCCCCCCCACCCCACCCCTGGCTGGAAACAACTCAGGCCAAGCGGCCTCATGGGCTCCAAATGCTTCCAGATGCACAGGCTGTTTTCCCTGCCCTGCCCCCACCCCTGCTCTGGCTGAGGTGCTCGAGCTGGGTCAGGGAATGAACTCCAGAGCTGAGTACTGCTCAGAAGGTGGAATGCTGAGTTTCAGCTCCCCAAGGCCAGACGGGAGCTGGACTAGGCTCTCTCCGGCCCCTTCCCCTCCACCCCCCAGTTCCTTTTGGGTAGAAGCAAGAGGCTAAGGAAAGTGCATCTTTAGCTCACAGGGTGCCTGCTGGGTTTAATTTTTGTCCTTTTTACCGACTCTCCTGGCACATCAGAGACCCACAGGGCTTCAGGCACCGTCCTCCGGTCTCCATGGAGACGGAAGCTGTCTCCAGCCCTGCTCCACCAGCCCATCCTGCGGCTGAGCCGAGAACCAGGGGCCAGGCAGGGCCAAGGGGTGGGATGCCGTAGGAGGACTCCTGACCACCCCCAACCCCTGCTTCTCAGCCAACCCTGATGTCCTGCTCCTGTCTGTGGTTGCACAAGTGGCTGCTGGTAATAGTCGTGATAATAGCCATTTATTGAGTGCTAAGAACGTCCCAGGCACTATACTAAGCCTCACCAATTAGCTCACTGAATTCATGCCAGGGACGTCCCCCTGTTCACTCTTTGATGTCACTTGACAGTTAAGGAAACCGAGGCTTAGCCACCTGTAGCGTGAGGAAGATGGCGTGGGATCGTGGGAAGTGTGTGAGCTCCAGAATCAGCTGGCTGGACTCAAATCCCCGCACTCTTTCTGCGTGACTTGACCTCGCTGAGCCTCAGTTTCCCCCTCTGTAGAGGGGGTATAGAAACAGTACGCCCCTCTTACAGTTGGTTGCTTTGAGGATTGTGCTGGGAGGGACCAGGGTGAGCTCGCCTGGGGAGAAAGTTTAAGGGGGTGCCAAAAACCCAGTCATCAAGACAAAGATTATTTTAATGCAATTTAAAAAAGTCAACACTGATGACCAACAAATCCATAATGAACAAAATGTCAACACTTTAAATAGAATCAGTATTCCTGAGTTTCCCTTTTGGCTCGGCATGGCATTGTTACTGGTCCTGTCTTTGTTTTAAAACAGAATTTTTAATTTAAAATAAAAATAAAACAAATTAAAAATTAAAATCAGGATCAGTAACAGTGCCATGCTGAGCCAATGGGAAAACTCAGTAATACTAATTCTGTGCTTATTTAAAATTTTGATATCTTGTTCATTGTAATTTTTTGCATTTTGATCTTTTAAATATCAGGGCTTTTTATTTCTTTTTTTAGAAAGTTTTTTTTAAAAGATTTATGTATTCACTCCAGAGAGAGTACTCACAAGCAGGGGGAGGGGCAGAGGGAGAGAGAATCTCAAGCCGACTCCATGCTGAGCAAGGAGCCCAACATGGGTCTCAATCCCAGGACCCTGAGATCATGACCTGAGCCAAAATCGAGAGTCAGATGCTTAACTGACTGAACCACCCAGCCACACCTGCATTAAGTGGGTTTTTTTTTTAAGTTTATTTAAGTAATCTCTACCCCTAACATGGGGCTTGATCTCATGACCCCGAGATCAAGAGTCCCATGCTCCAGCGACCGAACATAGTCTGTCAGCATCTGTTTATTTGCACCCACCCAGGGGGTTGTTGTGTGGATTGAATGAGTTCTTACATGTTGAGTGTCCAGCACAGAGCCTGGCACCTGGAAAGAGCTATGTGGTTTATTAATAAACAAGTAAATATATAGCATATTAGAGTTAAGTTAAAAGGGTATGCATGCCATGGAGGAAAAAGCAAGCCAGAGAACGGACATGATAATGGCTGAATGATTTTAGAGAAGATGGAGAGAGAAAGTGATGAGGATCCAATGAGTGAGTCAGCCATGCACCATCTGGGAGATGGCATTCCAGGCAAAGGGCACAGCCCGTGCAAAGGCCCTGAGGCAGACCCCGCCTGCCGTGCTGGAGGAACAGAGACCTGTGTGGCTGGGGCAGAGCAGGTGAGCGAGAGAGACAGAGGGGGCGAGGGGGCAGGTCCTACAGGGCCTCGTGGGCTTTAATTTGGGGACATCTTTGGAGAGTTTTAAGGCAGGGTGACATGATACTCTTAGAGCAGTTGGACCAAATGTGTCAATATACTTTGAAATATTTTGAATAGTATGTGCACACAGCAAGTGTGAGAAAAAAATGTTACTTCTGGTTGCTGCTGATAAAAGCACAATGGTTGCTATTTCTTTGTTTGTTTTCTGTTTTTGTTTTGTGTGTGTGTGCGGCTCAAGGGTTTTGCTGCTGAAACCCCGGACGATGGTTATTTCTATTCAATACGTTATAAACTTAAAAGTACTGAGCACAGTGCCTGGCACATGGTTATCAAAGTGTTCCTTTTTGGGTTTTTGTCGCTGATATTATTATTAGTACTACTACTACTACTACTATTATTGACTTAGAGGCCTAAAAGTGCCAAGGACAGCCCGGTCAACGCCAAGTAGGCACCCTATAGAACTGTGCGCCACTTCTAGTGTATTTTCCTGTCGTTAGCAGCGGGAGGAGCGGGTGCCCCCTGGAAGCCAGGTCTGCCCTGCCCTCAGGCTGGCGCTCGCCCAGTCAGGAGGCGCGGCTGCGGACCCGCCGGCCTCGGTTTCCCCGCCGGCGCTGGGCGCCGGGACTCGGGACACGGGGGGCGCCGCGGCGGCGAGGCACGCTCCGGCCGCCAGAGGCCGCTGCGGAGCCACCCTTTTGTGGTCCTGATGCTGGAACGAGCGGGCGCGCGGAGGAGGGAGGAGGGCGCGGGGACGGGGCGGGAGGGAGGCGGGAGGCGGCGTCCGTCGCTCCAGCTGCGAGTCCGCCCGCCGCCCGCCGCCCTCCGCCGCCGCCGCCGCCGCCGCCGCCGCCGGCTCGGTCCCGCGCCCGCCGCCCGCCTGCGCCCGCCATGGCCCGCCTGACGGAGAGCGAGGCGCGCCGGCAGCAGCAGCAGCTCCTGCAGACGCGGCCCTCGCCCGTGGGCAGCAGCGGGCCCGAGCCCCCCGGGGGGCAGCCCGACGGCATGAAGGACCTGGACGCCATCAAGCTCTTCGTGGGCCAGATCCCGCGCAACCTGGACGAGAAGGACCTCAAGCCGCTCTTCGAGCAGTTCGGCCGCATCTACGAGCTCACGGTGCTCAAAGACCCCTACACGGGCATGCACAAAGGTGGGCGCCCCGGCCCCCTCCCTCCCCTCCCCTCCCCTCCGTCGGCCTCCCCACCCCACCTTCCGGCATCTTCTCTCCCCCAGCCCTCCTCTCCTCACCTCCTCCCTCTGCTCGCCTCTGCCACAGCATCATTTCTCCCCCCCCTTTCCCACCCACCCCTCCTCCCCCCTCTGGGGGTGCAGCTGACAGATTCGAGCTGGCCCCCTCCCCTCCTCCGCCCCCTCTCCCTCCCTCCCTCCCCACCTTCCGGCATCCTCTCTCCCTCTCCCTCTCTCTTTCCTTTTCTCTCCTCTCCCATCTCCCTCTACCTCCCATCCTCTCCCCCCCCAACATCCTTCTCTCTCTCTCTGCCTCTCCCTCCCATTCCCCCTGGACCCCCACCCCTTCCTCCCTCCCTCACCCACTCTTTCCTGCCCCTTTGCTGGGGGAGCTGCCTGAACATCACCCCCCCTCCCCGCCCCCCCATTCATTCGGCCTCCCCAGGCCCCGTCGGGGAAGTTTGCACCTCTGGACTCCATTGCTTTGGTCATTTTCACAAAGCCAGGCCAGCGGGGCAGGTCCGGCCAGCCGCAGGGGACACGGATGCCCAGGACCCCGGGCTAATCGGTAACTACAAAGAAAGCGGGGTGGGGGTATCAGGGAGCTGAGCCAGGCTGGGGGGGTGGCGCCAGCCTCCCCAGCCTTGGGTGGCTAAAAGGCTATGGTTTGCCCTCCCCCCCCCACCCATCCTCTCTGTTTGGATCAGCGTCCCCCTTCCATTTCTCTGCCCTCCCCCTCCCTGCCTCCACCTTTGGCTCAAGTTAAAACTGGCCTAGCCTGTTAGCAATGTGTTGAGGTCTGAGGCCAAAGACGATGAGCCTGGACTGTCCATCTGGCAGAGCCCAGATCCCAGGGTGGACAGGGAGGCGTGGGCGACCTGGGAGCCCAGTGTGGGAGGCAGGAGGAGTGGGGAGGCCTGCCCACCTCCCTCCCACCTGATTCTCTCTCTGATGGGATGCTGGGAGGAGGTGCCGAGGGGCTGTGGCCCCAGCCCTGGGCTCCAATCATGGGCCCACTGTCTGAATTACGGTAGCTTTGAAGGCTCTCCTGTAAAGGTGTTGGCGACTGAGGGTGGGGACAGTGAAGGCTTTGTGCTGGACACCCCTGACAAGACCCTGGAGATGCCTTGGGGATGGACCAGGGCCCATGACCTATTTCAGACCGTTTGTCTCCATCCTCCTCTCTGTTGCAGGCATAGGAAGCGTGAATACATGTTTGAATGAATGAATGAATGAATGAGCGAATGAATGGATGGGTGGATGGATAGATAGATGATGGACTGGGGCAGACCATAGGGAGAGTCTGGTGGGATGGAGCCAGGGCCTGTAACTGTAGCTAGACCCTCCAGCTGGTATCTTAGAGGGAGAAAAGAAACCCTTCCCATCCCCCACCTCTTTTCAAATCCAACCATCACCAAAAAAAAAAAAAAAAAAAAAAATCGGGCTTGGAAAATCTAATTCTTCTCTGTGAACTAGGAGGGCAGGGGGTTTCCATTCGCCCATGAGTCATGCTCAGGGGTCCACGGCTGCATGGAAGGCTCTCTCCACAAGCCCTTACCCCTAGTATGCCTGAAGGGCCCATTTCTAGAAAGATTCTGATGGAGACTGGAAGGGGTGTCCACACAGTCCCCAAATGTTGAATTGAAAAGCTGTCGGTGAGCTCTGGACTGGGAAGCCAATAGGGTGCAGGGGAAGGACACACTGGGTGATCCTTTCTTCTCCTTTTTCCCATTTTTAAAATCTCCCCTGGAGCTCCCCCCACCCCCTGGCCAGGAAGAAATGAGGGACTGTGTCTCGAGCCTCAGTTTCCCCCACTGTCCGCAGAGCAGGGCCCCTTGAATGTGTGGTTGTCTTTCTGGCTGGAGATTCTTGGATTAGGGGCCCCTCAGGAGCTTTCCCAGAAGGGTGAAAATAGGAAGCAGGGTGTCCATGACACCTGCCTGTCACCCTCCACTTCCCAGGGGCCCTGGAAACAGGACCTGGGGCTAAGGCAGGGGGCCTGCCCTCATATCCGCTCTCCGACACCCAAGGGTCAAGGATGGATCTCTCTCCTGATCCCACCTGTGCTGGGTCTGGCTGGGCTTCACCTGCGAGAGGGGCTGGGGTGTGGGGCAAGCTGGAGGTGAGGGGTTCTTGAGGGCCAGTGGCAAGGAGGGAGGCCGGTGATTGGGGCTCAGCTGTCTGACCTCTGGCCAGTGGCTGCCCCTCTCTGGGCCTCAGCCAAAGGGAGGTGGAATGATAAATGGGAAGTCCAGGAGGTGTTCAGGTACCTCCCGCCAACACTGATCTGGTTTAGTTTCCGGGGAGCCAACAGGGTACAGGATGCCTGCTGGTGGTGCTGGCTGAGAGCTGTGGGCTTGGGGGTGTGGTCCTGGCAGGGGGAGAGGGGAGAGAAATCCCTCCTGAATGCTAGGGGATCCCATGATGATGGGCACCAGGGGAGCCGGAGGGCCAGAGGGGGTGAAGTGGGTCACCGTGCCGCTGGTACCCCGTGCAGCGATGGCCACCCAGCATCATCCTTGTCCCAGTGATCATCTCACCTTTGACTGTCATGCCCGGGGGCCGGTTTAGGCCCCCCACTGAAGGGGTCGCCACTGAGGTGGGCTGCGAGCACTAGCCCGGTTCACATGGAAGGGAAACTGAGGCTCGGAGGGGCCAGTACTGGGTCTCAAGGACCAACCGGAGCTGGGGCCCCCACTGTCACCCACCTGTCCCCCTCCAGCCCGGGAATACAAAAGTCTGTCTGTGTGATGGAGGAGTGACGGGTTCCCCCAATCCAAGAGTCAGGCCCCTCAGAGATGGTGTTGCGGAGGGAAGGGCCTGTGACACGAGGCACCCCGATGCCTCAGGGCCTGCGCAGTGAGGTCCCATGCCAAGACCAAGGGCTGGGCAGGAGGTCCAGCCACGCCTGGGGCTCTGGGAATTTGGCAGGGTCGGGGGAGGTTGGGAAGGACACAGTCCTTAGAAAGAGGGCAGGCCCTTGGGCGCTGGCTTGTTTTGTTTTTAAGAGAGAAAGGGATGGAGACAGAGAGATGGAGAAACAGAGATTTAGAGACACAAGAAGAGACGAAGAGAGACTCAGAGCAGGAGCGGAGATGGAGAGAGACACCCAGAGACTGAGAGAAACAGGGGCAGAGGGAGGACCACCCCCCCACCCCCCACCCCCCCACCCCCCCACCCCCCGCCGCACACAGCCAGGGAGAGGCAGGGGGAGGCAGGGAGAGCCACGGAGAAGGGGAGCAGGGAGGCCGCTTCTCCACTCAGACCTGTGCCTCACCAGGAGCTCAGGCCAGGACCTGGGGGGCTCCCACTGGCCAGCATCCCCATGTCCCCCCCACCAGGCCCCAGCCAGGGGACAGCGGCCTCAGAGGGGGCCCACGGAGGTGCCTGGCATGGCCGTGCTGTCCCTCTCTCCCGAGGGGGGCCGAACATCAATGCCCACCCTGCCCCGGGGCAGGCAGGCGCCCGTCACAGGGCTCGGCCATCACTGCCGAGCGGCCCCCCGTTTATGGTAATCGTATATGCATTTGCATGTTAATGACAATATTTGTCTTAAAGCGGAGGTTGAGAGGGGGGCCCGCTGCAGGTGGGGGGGCCGGGTGGAGGCCTGTGGTTTCCATGGGAGCACCAGCTGCTCGGCTTGGCGGCAGGAGGGGAGGCTGGAGCACGCTGAGCTCTGAGGCATGAGATTCGGAGCAGCGCGCGCCAGCCCCAGGGAGACGGAGGGCTGCCTGGCGGGGGCGCCGAGGGAGGAGTTGGCGAAGTGAGAGCCGCACGTGGGGGCTGCTGGGGCCCTGAGTCCGAGCTAGGCATGCCCCCCTCTGTGCCTCAGTTTCCCCAGCCGCCCATTCTTCCCTGATTTAACAGGCTTTTAGGAGGCCCTCAGGGCCTTTCAGGCTGGGATCATGGCATCACCTCCGTCCTCCTTCAGGCAGAGAAGGTTGACTGAGCACCTACTGTGTGCGGCGTTTGTGGGGACGTGGGGATCCGCGTGAACGGGAATCAGTGCAGGATTCATGATGGAGTGAACAAGACATGGACCCATCTACCCATATAACCGACATTTACTGAGCACTTGCTGTGCACCAGGCCCCGTTCTAGACCCAGGAGACGATGTTGGGCGACACCGATAAAAATGCCCCCCAAGATCTGACCTGCCTTCAAATCCCAGTCCAGCAGGAGGACACAGTGAGGCATTGCTGTTAGGGCTGTGATGGTGGAAACACGTGCCTCCAGGGGCAGCCCAGAGGAGCCCCAGCCCCGGCCCCTGCAGGTGTGGAGACCAGGAGGGCTTCCTGGAGGAGGTGGTCAGCGTGAAAGAGCAGTTCCGAGCTCGGCATTGAGATGCGTCTGGTTTCTCTGCATCCTACTGGCAGACCGTGTTGCTACCTACAGAATCGGGAGACCTGCGGGGCTTTCCGTCTCAGAGGGGTCGGGAAGGCGAGGACCACAATGGTAGTTAAGACTTTTGGCACCGGACTGGGCTCATTATGGGACCGAGCTGAGGCCTGTAGGGTGAGAAGGATCTGTTGATGGGGACAGGTGTTCTTGGCACAGAGAATAGCATGTGCAAAGGCCCAGAGCAGTGTTAACTCTGGAAACTTCCGGTGGGGAGGGGCAGAGGTTTTGCCCTGGTGGGAAAGAAGCAAAGGGTCCTGGGAGCCCCAGCGTCCCCTTCTGACCTAGGACTTTTATCTCTTCTGAGGGCTCTTCTGAGAGGCTCTGGCACTGGGGGTGGGCCCAGGAGCTATGTCTGGCACGAGCTCGTGTCTCTCTCTCTCACCCCTGACGCTGGCGGATGAGAACCTGGCCATTAGGAACGCTCAGGAGGACCATACTCACTCAGGTGCCCTTTCATTCATTCATTCATTCATTCATTCATTCATTCATTCAGCCAACACTTCCTGAAAGCCTCTGGGGCCTTGTCTCATCCTGGGTGAGACAAGGATGAAAGCCCTCTGA